AGTGGATGGGAGGTGGGAGGGGGGGTGGTGGGCAGCAGAAAGGGAGGGAGGGGGAACTGGGGTGGGTATGTAAAATGAAAAAATGTAATTTAAAAAACCCACTTGAAGTGTATGGTGATCCATAGCCCCATCCAAGCCCTACACATTAAAAAGACACACACACACACACACACACACACACACAGAGAGAGAGAGAGAGAGAGAGAGAGAGAGAGAGAGAGAATATCAGCTTATTTGTCCCTCAGAAAGATCATGTGTGTTAATAGCTTTTTAGCACACACAAAATCCTGCTTGTAAAACCAACATGAAGAATATGGTAAGTTCCATGACAACTGGGGCTATACTACAAGACCCTATCAAAAAAAAGAAAGAAAGAAAGAAAGGAAAAAAAGAGAAAGAAACAGGAGAAAAATGTTCGTGTGAATTAAGGGGCATTTCTATCAGATTATTTGGTAATTATTTTAATTTCACTAGATCCCCCAGACTGTGTGCCCTAGGCCCTGGAGTCCGCATATTACTATTTGGAGGAACTGCTCTTAGAGCTCACATCCACCCCGATGGTTTGAGGTTCCGATGTCTAGAGCTCTTCCTAACACAATGGAACAAAACTCCCACCCAAAGACACCAAAACAAAGCTGAACATTCAGCAGTCCTTACATGCGTGGGTGGCACTACCAGAGCCAAGGCTCTGAGGCCCTGGCTAAAGGCAAAGAGAAAAGTGTTGCTCAGTGAGGCACTGGAGCTGGCCGACTGGCCACACCTCTTCCCAAGGGGGTTCAGAGGCAGCACCTGAAAAGCGGCCTGCTGGGAGGTGTTCCACCACTGAAATGGGCAAATGTTACAAATAAAATCGGGGTTTTGGTTCTTTTTTGTTTTTACTTACTTTTTCAGGGAGTATTGTGACATACTCATCACCACCCTGCTGGCTATACCTTCCTGTCTTTTCTGTTAACACTGCTAGCTAGTTACTCCACATTGACTTCGGGATCAAGGGGAAATTCCTTGGGTGGGAGGGAGGCTTCTGTCTGTGGTCTGCCTTGTGCCCTGATTCTTTGCTCTCCTACACACAACAGCTCTCTCTTCCGTGTGTCTCCAGACTAGTACTCTACATACTTGCTGTTAGTATTCAGGCTTCTGTACTGGCCTGTCCTTGGGGTTCTGACAGGATCTGCCCTCAGCTGCAGCCACTAAGAACACCACCTGTGCACATTCACTATGTTCCCTTTTAAAAGGGCCCTGCCCGCCCCCATCACTCTTTCTCCCTGTCTGTCTGTCTATCTGTCTGTCATTTCCCCCCCCCGCCTTTCTGCCCCTCTCTCTCTTCTCTTCTGTTGCTCCTGTCCCCAGAGGCCAGTCTCCTTCTCCCTTCCTCCCTTTCCCATTCACTTTCCTCCAGTTAAAAACAAAAACACCCTCGACCCAAGTTCTGTTGCATGGTGTGTTTCTCTGGCATGCCCGTTTTGTTTTGTTTTTGTTTTGTTTTGTGTTGTTTTAATTGCAACACTTGCTTCAAAATGAGTTTGACGGTTGACCTCCATTTCTGTCACGAAACCTCTGGATATCTTTATGTTTGCATTCTTAGTTAGTTCACAGCCATCCTGATTTGCTGGAGTGATCTTGGCCTAAGCAGGATGCTGTGAGCAGGAGTAAGTGTACACAAAGCACTACACCATAGTGTGTGGCACAAACTTCTGGCATAATTGTCCTGAGAGAGAGCCCCAACTGAAGAGAAGAGTCATGCCTGCATCCCGACTCCCTGGGTTCATGCAGAGGAGCAGCAAGAAAAACCAAAATGTACTGTCAGTGACCCCCGAATTCAGGGGTTTGTTTTCAGCTCCTTAATCTGACCCAGTGTTCAGGTATCATGAGAAAGGAACCAGAGAGGATGGGATTAGTTCAGATGACCGTGTGTGTGTGTGTGTGTGTGTGTGTGTGTGTGTGTGTGTGTGTGTGGAAAAGTAACAATTTATAAATGCTGAAACCATAACTTCTCAGTAAAAATAATAGAAAGAGATTAAGCTGGGGGTGATGACAGGAATTTCTTTTTTTTTCCCAGAATTTTTTTAAATTTGAATTAGAAACAAGATTGTTTTACATGACAATTCCAGTTCCCTTCTCCCTCCCGTCCTCCCCTACCAGCCACCCCCCCCCACTAAAACCCTATCTATCACATATCCTTTCTGCTCCCCATTGAGGTTGAGGCCTTCCATAGGGTGTCATCAGAGTCTATCGTATCCTTTGGGATAAGGCCTAGGCCCACCCCCATGTGTCTTAGCTCACACACACTTTCAATCCCAGCACTTGGAAGGCAAAGACAAGCAGATCTCCATGAGTTCAAGGGCAACATAGTGAGACCCTGTCTCAAAAACAAGAAACAATAGCAACCACCACCAAACACAGAGACATTAAAAATTCTCTATTCAGAGAGGTTTCAATGACTTCTTTTAAAGTTGTGCTCTTCCTGGACAAAGGCTCTTGTTAGATGCCCTCTTCAACACTGTGACTAAACGCAGTGCTGGTGTGGGTGAAAACAGTTCTGGAACCATCCCCCAGGTTTCCTATTGCTCAAAACCCTGGAACCCAGCAAAGCCCCACTTAAAATCATGACATCCATCACCTCCTCGGGGTCGTTGGAGTCTGAGACCTCAGGACAAAAGTTAGTATTTCTTATTATTCATCTTCCAATTGTACAACTCCAAAACAGGAAACAGTGTGTATGAATTTAATCTGCTTTTAGTTGATAAAGTCAAATGGAAGAATGTTAGTAGCTAGAGTTCTTCTAAAGAGATAAAGATAGTAGTTTTCTGGCTGTCAGCAGGGAAGCAACCTCACACAGAAAAAGAATTCATTGGTTTCTAGACCAAAGGTAAAGAAAGTCAAAGACCCACAGAGCACACGCAGGGTGGGGTGGGTGGCAGGGCTCCGTGATTGTCCTGGTACAGCAACTCTACCAGCAAAGACTGCTCGTCCATCCACACGCACCTTCCATTTCTAAAATACACCAAACTGATTTTATTCGGGGTATCTCAACTAAAAGATAAATTCCCCAGCCTCCTCTCAACTAAAAGATAGATCTCCCAGCCTCCTCTGCTGACTGTCACAACCTGACAACTAAATCTGGGTGAGTCCTTTAAGAAGGTCCGGCATTTCTGGGTGAGTCCTTTAGGAGGGTCCGGCATTTGCTGCTTTTCTCTCTCCTTCGCTTAGCTAGAGCCTAAGAAGAAGGTGATGCCAGAAGACCCAGCAGCCATCTTGTTTTTAAGGATGAAAACCTTGCACTAAATGTGACAGGACAGAAAGATGAGCTTCAGTCCCTGACAACCTCGTGAGGAGGCATGGAAACAGCCTTGGACTCCCCTGCTTCCCCCGATTTGTAATGTGAGAGACTAAACCATCATTAGACAATTCCTACACGGCCACCAGCCGATACCTCAGCCTCATCGGCAGAAACCATGCAGAGAATCTCAGGGAACAACACAATGCCAGGAAAGGACAAATTCAGGTCCTTTCAGGAAAGGTCAGGGATGCAAGCATGTGCAGGTCACAGTCAGACAACTAGAAAGGGATCACATCAAAGCTGGGCATAAAGTCTGCAAGCCGGTGACGTCAGGGTGTCTCAGTTAGAGACACTACACATGGCGTGGTCCCTCGCCTCTGATGGGAAGGATGCTCCTTTGTACCTCTTCCAGATTACGGAACTCCTGACGCAGGGCAGTCTTCAGATCCGTACACTCTCTCCCGCATCTCATCGCTACCAGACTTTCCTTGGTTAAGTGTGGGATCTAGTCAGAGGACACAGGTTCTTAGTGGAGGTGTTTGTGAAAACTGTCCCCACGCTGACTGAAATGCACAGAAGCTTCCCAGCTCCAGCACAGGAGGACTTGGCCACATGCAGATGTCCACATCCTTGGCAAGAGGCCCTGGGTCATCTCTGTGCTTCCAGGAACCACTTCTCACAGCATCTGATCAAGCCAAGAGGGCTTTAGCAGGGTTCTCCGTGCCCACTGCTTGATCATCTAGTCCCATGCTGTACACTCTGAGGAAGGCAGTCATTTAGCCTCTTCAAGTCTCAGTGTTCCTGTCTGAAAAATGGTTCCAGCAACAATACCCCCTCCCGGGGCAGTCAAGGGAGGGAATCAATAGAGATGATTTGGAACATCCTGAGTGTTCAATATATGTCATTGATTAATAGCATAATTAACACTATTAATATCATTAAGTTGAGTACATAACTCGTGTGTGTGTGTGTGTGTGTGTGTAGGCCAGATGTCAACATTGCATGTCTTCCTCACTCACTCTGAATCTTATTTTTTAAACATTTATTCATGTATTTATTTTGTGTGTTCCTGTATGTGTGTGTGTGTGTTCAAGTGTGCACATGCCCACACACATGCTTGAGAAATGCTCCTGTAAGAGGCTTATTAGTTTCAGCTGTTTCAATACTCCCATTTCTGGCCACATGAATTTCTGCCTCCCACTCTGAAAGTCGCTGGTCACACCTGACTCTTACCCCATCTGAGTTATTCTTCAGAGGCTCACGGTTCAAACTATGCCATGATTGACTTTAGAATGGATGGAAGCTGGGGAAACACAAAGTAAAATTACCTTACAGAATAGTTCCAGTAACATCTTCTGGCGAGCTCGTTCATAAGGGTCAAATGGAAACAGCTTCCTTCCCGGGTAGAGGTCATCCAGGTACTCACAAGCGATGACAGATTCATAGACCAGTTGACCCTGGCTGTTTTCCAGGACAGGAATCTGGCCAAAAGGGTGTTTTGTAAAGTACCACTCAGGCTTGTTCTTCAGGTTAATGTTGACAACTTCATGCCTTAAAAAGGGAAAGGAAAAGACAGACAAACTAGAAATGAGACACATACAGGAAGACACTCAGCCTGGAAAACAAACAGCTGTAACCTTCATGCTTAGAGCTGTTGGATGTAGGAATTTTTTGTCAAATATGTAACACGTGTGTTCATTCTGCAGAGGTGTTAGGTGTCTTCCATGGCTTTTCTTTTCCTGTGATTGAATCTCAGGCCAGACATCATCTCCTAAGAAGCAGCTGAGGCAAGATGAGAGCCAGGCTGACTGATTCCATATGCGTTGGCCACATGGCTGAAAGATGAAAGCCTGAAGGCACAGACTCAACAGGACCCAGACAGGGGGATGTTAGTTAGAGAACAATCTGAGCTACACAGTGAGACCCTGTCTCAAAAGCAAGCATTAACAACCACCAAGATGCAAATGTGTATTGACAGGTTATAACAGACATTGGTGAATGTTAACAGTTAAGATCGCAAACCCGCCATCAAACTTGTATGGTCAAGCTGGGATCTTAGTCAGTTCCTTCTCTCCGTACTCAGTGTCCACAACTGTAAGGAGGTAATACCTGTACCCATCTCTTGGCATCACTGTGATGTTAAAACAGCGAGCATGTGTAGTGTTTGGGGGAGATATAGTATATTAATTAGCATGCAATCACTTTTCAGTCCTCCCCTATTCATTATTATTGGAGGTTCAAAACCAGGAAGTTGCCAGAGGCACAAGCAGTTTATAAAGATTAAAGGAAACAAATAGTTACATTCTTCAAAGTGGGAGTTCCCAACAAGATTATTTTACCTCTCCCCCATGCAAAGAGTGTATATCAATATCTAGGGACCCTTTGATCTTCACCCTGGGAGTGGGGTACCATCCTAATACATAAAGGTGGGGATAACAAAATAACCTGGAATGCACAAGACAGTCCTCTTTCCTCTCCCCAGCAAATTCAGCCAGTGGTGCTAAGGTTGAGGAACTCCACTCTGAAAAATCAGTTATGGGCCCAGGCCTGTGGCTTAGGTGGTAAAGTACTTGCCCAGCTACAGGAAGTCCTGGATTCCGTCCCCAGCATCACACAGCCAGGCATGGTGACACACTGCTGTAAATCCAACACTGTGGAGGGCCAGTCAGAGGACCAAAAGTTCAAGGTCATCCTCAGACACACAGTGAGTTTGTGGTCTGCCTGAGCTACATCACACCCTGTCTCCAAACAAGCAACAAAACCCCAGAAACATTTGCCTCAGTTCCTAAACTATAAGTTTGTCCCCAAATGAGCAACATATTGTATTGCTCTTATTTTTCTAAAACCAAACAAAAAGGACAGGTAACCATATAGATAGATTTGAGCCAGCAGGAACAACTGCAAATGTATGTTATATACATACGAATCAATGCAGTGTTAACAGCTTTTATTTAAAACATCTCCATATTGGTCTCTCTATTCATGACATGAACTAAAAGTCTAATGCCAAATCCTATGATGTGCTTCCCAAGCCCTGAGCCAGAGGCTGCAGTGACACTTGAGTTTTGTGTATAAGACGGGGTCTTATGTGGCCAAGGCTGACCTGGAACTTGGTATGTAAGCAAGAGCGTTCTTGAACTTCTGATCCTCCTGCCTCGACCTCCTATGTTCTGAGATCATAGGGACGTTCCTCCACACTTGGTTTCTTGCTGTCACTGCGTGTAAAACCGGTGCCTCATACACGCTGAGCAAGCACTCCAACGAACTCAGCTACATCCCCAACAAACACTTTTGAATACTTACTGAGTGCCAGGCTCTCTTCTAGCACCCAACATGGCAGCCCTCCTTCCTCTCTTAAACTCCTTTTGTGTATGGTTGCCATGGGGTGGGAGAGAGGGGGAGAGGAGGTAGAAAGATGGAACAGATGAGGAAATGATAGACGTGGTTAAGCACCATAAAGAAATAGAGCAGTTAATCCAAGCTGCTCAGGGCAAAAGTAAGGCCGTGTTGGTGCAGTTAGGAGGCCTCAGTGAGCCCTTACTAACTGTGCCCCTCCTAAACAAACAGTGGGTGGGTGGGGACCGTTTCGCCAACAGCATCATTCAGTTTTGGCTGCCTCGTCTAAAAGTTCATGAAAATCTGATTTGGAAAAGAACTCAGCATTTCAGTAAAGCCTACACAAAATCAGTCCTTGGAGTCACTCGCCTCAGAAGAAAGGGAAGAGGAGCCCTTCTAGGAGCCCAAGACTTTAAATAAGTCCCTGCAGATGAGGGGTGAGCAACGTGCTCAGGGAGCACTTGGCCTTGGTTTCTCACCTGATGCCTTTGGCCTTGAGGACCAGGCGTGCCCTTTGCGAGTAGGGGCAGAACCTCATGCTGTAGATTCGGATGACACCCTCAGGGACTGGCCCTGGGGGACTGCTGCCTGCAGGGCGGGGCAGGGGTGAAAAGATGGAGATCTGGTTAGCCCTGTGGGGAGGGGCCTTGCTCACCTCATGGGCATTGCAGAGGACTCTGTGAACTGAGCCTCTCAAGTTCCAGAGGGGACACTTGCACATAGTTTGTGCAGGGGCTGAGCCGTCCAAGTCGGTTACAGGCTTAGTTACTCCTGTCCAGAGAGGGCAGCCCCATCAGGCCTCTCCCCCAGTCTAAGGTTACAAAAGTCTCGAAGGTTTACCTCTCCCCAAGCTTCTGGTCGCATCCCCAGACATCAGTCTCCATAGAGTCTACGCAGTACCCAAAAGCTCACAGTCGCCGCCTTGTGGCTCTCTCTGCTGCTGCTGGCTCCACGTACAGCTGGGCTCCCTCCAGACCCAAATTGAATTTCTCAACAGTCAACAGCACTCTGGTGGGGCAGAGAGGAAGTGAACTGGGACCCCTGGGGTGGGAGCTAGGATAATCTAGCCCCCTCCCAGTCACCGCCCCAGACGTGGAAGTCCATAAAGGGGCGAGGGAAACAATAAATCCCAAACCACTCCCCCCAAAGTGCTTCCTGTTTTAAGACACAAGGGGGAAAGCATGGGGGATGGTGCTCACCCACACGAAGAAGACTGGACATTTAAACCCCCACGTAGATTTCAAAGGCATCGAATAAAAATTTACCGATCTTAACTTTTTAAAATGTACTAATGTTAACTTTTCCTTTCCATCACACATCTTTGTTTTAAGCTGATAATTGGCCAGACCTTCCGTATAACGTGTTCGGCTAAAAAGGCCAAACTCTCTCACGGTTTGGCAAATGGGACGAAAGACTTAGGGTGTGGTGAGACCCTGCATCACTCAGAAAGCGAATGGCAGGCAGCTTCAGTCCCTGACCATCTATTTGTGAGATTTCTACCCATGTTCTGAAAAGCTGGCAGTGAATAAGAATGAGACCCTAAAGGCCAAGAGTCGCTTCTGAGACCTCCAGCCTGACTTTCCCCGGAAGTGTTATAGTTTCCAAGGACAGAGCTCAACAACGCAGCTCCAGCTCCCGTCTACAAGAGACCAGGAGGCAGCGGGCCTTGACTCTGACACTGGTAAGCTGAGAGCCTGAATTCCAGCAGGGGAAATAAGGATTCCTTTAACTTCCCAGGCTGAGATGAAGTGGAAATGGCTGGCAAATGCATTTTATGGAGTGACAGGAAGGACAGAAAAGCATTGCGTGTCTCATTTCCCAAACGTCCGTGTCATGTCTTCAACACTATTACTCTTTTACAAAAGTGCCTCAGAAAAGTGAAATAATTTGGCCAAAGTGAACAGTTAATAGAATCAAAGAATTTTAAAAATCCAAAGACTGGGCTGCAACAGCAGAGAGTTTATGTCTGGAAAAACATACAGCGCATAATGGCAGCTTCATTGCTGGGTCTGATTTCTCATTAAAATAGCAGACCTTTGTCATAGGGCTTAGAAGATGGACAGTTCTGGGCCTTTGGAATTCTCACCTCTCCAGAATGTCTTGGCTAATAATAGTATTTTTTCTACAGAATAAGAATCTTTGAAATCTTCAGAACAAATTCAACCACAGTTTTAGTCAAGAATCCAGTGATTCTGTGAGAGTTAAGCTTAAATGCCAAACTCCATAGCTCCCATAAAGGAATCAGGGAATTCCTCGTCCATAGCTCCCATAAAGGAGTCAGGGAATTCCTCGTCCATAGCTCCTATAAGGGAGTCAGGGAATGCCTCGTCCATAGCTCCCATAAAGGAATCAGGGAATGCCTCGTCCATAGCTCCCATAAAGGAATCAGGGAATGCCTCGTCCATAGCTCCTATAAGGGAGTCAGGGAATGCCTCGTCCATAGCTCCTATAAGGGAGTCAGGGAATGCCTCGTCCATAGCTCCTATAAGGGAGTCAGGGAATGCCTCGTCCATAGCTCCTATAAGGGAGTCAGGGAATGCCTCGTCCATAGCTCCTATAAGGGAGTCAGGGAATGCCTCGTCCATAGCTCCTATAAGGGAGTCAGGGAATGCCTCGTCCATAGCTCCTATAAGGGAGTCAGGGAATGCCTCGTCCATAGCTCCTATAAGGGAGTCAGGGAATGCCTCATCCATAGCTCCCATAAAGGAATTAGGAATGGTGGGGAGCAGGGGTTGGGGGGAGGCCTGGATCAATGCTTGGAAGTACGTAGGTGCCACAGAAACCTAGTAACGGTTAAGGCAGACCCCGCCTTGCCTTGCTGATGCTTTCACTTTGGCAGATGCAGTCACAGGCAACTACTTCCCTGGAACTAACTTGGATCAAGGACAAGCTTGAGGGTAAAACAGAAACAAGGGGCAAACCAAGCTGTGCTAAGTAAGGCGGGGTAAGGAGCCGGCTTCTGAGCAAACAAAGGTACCTTAGGTCTCAAACTCAGGACCAAGGACTGAGGACCTATTAGGACTAAAGAGGATGCTGACCACCAGGTTCCTGAATGCCTCAGTCCCTTCCTGTTGCAGGGTCCTGGCTGGCATCCCCTGCCCTCTACCAGCCCAGGACTCTCCTTTCCCCACATGGCCCAACTCAGTCTTCCAGTTACATCCACTCTGAGCTCTCCCAGATGTTTCTCCTCCACTGTATTCTTCCTGACATCTATAATAAAAACCTCAACCCCCTAAGGAGCTGTCATGTCCTTCTTTTTCTTTTCTCTTTTCATTCACCTTGCACATAAAGAAAGCAGGTGATTGAGGAAAACACTCCCAGATTCTTTTTTTGTTGTTGTTGTTGTTTTGTTTTTTTGTTTTTCGAGCCAGGGTTTCTCTGTGGCTTTGGAGGCTGTCCTGGAACTAGCTCTTGTAGACCAGGCTGGTCTCGAACTCACAGAGATCCGCCTGCCTCTGCCTCCCGAGTGCTGGGATTAAAGGCGTGCGCCACCAACGCCCGGCCACTCCCAGATTCTAAAAGGGAAGGCATAAGAGAAAGGCAGACTTTCAAAATCAAAATGGATTATTACTGACCTGTTTGGTGCTTTATAGTTCATTTAACCCTTAAACTGGCCCTGTAAGTAGTCCTATAGGACTTATTATCCCGTTCAAAAGATGAGTGAGTGCTAACAAGCACTTGTTAAATGGTAACTGGAAGAGAGGAGAAGAATTTTAACTCTGAGGACATCATTCTAATCCAGTAGCTTAGTCAGTAGCAGATGCCGTGGAATGGACAGTCAGAAAACTTCTCCCCATGGAGTGAATACTGAAGGCTTTTCACATCTCATCTGCTCAGTTCTTACCATGAATGGGCACAGCTGTGCACCAATAAACCCTTACTTATGGTCTCTGAGCTTGATATATGTTTTAATAGCCTATAACTTTTAGAGCTGCTTTAGGTTCACAGCACTATAAAGCATAACAGAGAGGCAGCTCATATTCCCGCAAGCTCCGCACACAGCCTCCTGTACTGTTAACATTCCATCAGAGCGGTGTCTTTGTTACGATACATGTACATACATTGACACGTCACTCCAAGTCCACAATTTACAAACCGTCCACGGTGGCTCACTTTTGTGTGATTTCTACATTACGACTTATGATTTATATTTTGATATTTCCAGCTACTTAAAACGGTTACTTTTTTGAAAAGATTCTTAGCTCTTTGAGCTGCACAGAATTCAGCAGTTGGCCTGAGTTAGCCTGAGTGGTTTTAATTTGGTCATTCATAGCTTTTGTTGCAATGGCTGAGCTAAAAATAGAATGAGAATTCCATTTGCAAATTAAGAGATTCTATTATGCCAGAAAAGGCTGTATTTCCAATTTTCCCTCATGATTCTCTCCTTCTAAATAAAACTAAATGTGAGAGCTGGAAATGTCATTTATTAAGAAAGCTGTGGTGGTACAGTCTGAGGCACCATGGCGAATCTGAGGTGAATCAGAGTTACATAGTGATCCTGTCTCAAAAGAAAAAAAAAGTATGCCTGTATATGGAAGGTCAAGTTTTGAGATACAAGTCCATTTAGTATGGCTAGGACAGCGGTGGGAAGCATTCTTCATCTATGGGAAGCAGTGCAATGTCAGAATTCTCGAAACGGGAGCTGGAACCACCTGGGCTGTGTGACCTGCTTTCTGGCACTTGGGCAAAATCCCCAGCCTTTTTGATCTCCACTTTCCTTGTTTAAGATGATGGTAGGTACATGATGGTTTTGAGTATGGAATGAAACCATGCAGACCTCAGAGTTTTAGCTCAATGTACCTCAAAGTTAAAGAGAAATACTAATGAATAAGCATGCATTTTAGTAGCACACATGGTACCTTCCCATTTTGCATCTATACAGAAGACAGGCATCACAATTGAGCTTTGTCAGGTGTATCAGAGTGAAAATCTAACTCACAACACTCATTTTGCTGGTTTGCTGGCTGAATGTGTTGAATGCTGCAGGGTACATTTCAGGAATGTGATTTTTAATCTCAGCAAAGATCATGACAGTTTTCCCGGAAGGATTTTAATTATGACCTTTAAGCTTGTTCTCCACTTCTTCGTAAAGATTCAGAAGGTAGCTGCTAAATATGTTTTTGCAAATGTTCTATGCTATTTCATGTTCACATCACTATTATATTGACCAACTCAAGCGCAAAATAATTATAATAAGGTCATAGAAACCTATTCCAAAAAAGTTTCCACGCATCTGAAATATAATCATATCCACTGTTTGTGTGTGTGTGGAGGTGCATTTGCACACGTGTAAACACGTATGTGGAGGCCAGAGGTCTTTTGAGTCAAGATCTCACAGGGTCTCACAGTTGGAACTTGTTGATTTGGCTGAGCTGGCTGGCCTGAAATCCAAAGGTCCACCTCTGCCTCCCCAGAACAGGGTTACAATACACCTAGCCTGTACATGGCTTCTGGGCTGGAAGTCAGGTTCTTATGTTTGCTCTATAAGCACCTTACCTGCCCAGCCATCTCCATCTCCCCAGCCACAGATATGCTTTTGTGAACCAGGAACACAGGACTCTTTGATCATGATGATCAAAGATTTACATGTTTACAGAATGGAAATAATTTCTGTACTCTATTTCAGTTCGTTTTGAGGGAAATGAGTTTTTCTTCTCTCTGTCTCTGTCTCTGTCTCTGTCTCTCTCTGTGTGTGTGTGTGTGTGTGTGTGTGTGTGTGTGTGTGTGTGCTGTGCGCATACACATACAGGCGTGTATTTATTTTGTTTTTTTGACACAGGGTCTCACTATATAACTCTGACTGTTATGAAAGTCCACAGGTAGACCGAACTGGCCTCAAACTTACAGAGATCCACCTGCCTCTGCCTCCAAAGTGCTGGGATTAAAGATGTGCACCACTATACCTGGCTTGAGGTAAAAAACAAAAAAGTCACTCCAGTCTCTATTAT